AAAAAAGATAGTGCTTCAAAACATCTTTCTTTGTATTTGAATCCATTCTGTTAACATCCCCTTACCTAATGCAGTACCTACTGAAACTCTCACAATTAAATATTAACTCAATCTAGATATGTATTTTTAAATTTACTTTATATTGCAAAGTCTCTATTGAAAGCATTTAGTGTTATTACGGTTTTTTTTGCTTTGTTTTGTTTTGTTTTACAATGTACCCTAATAATTCAACACAAACGTGAAGGAAACTTACCAAGAATGCTTTTACAGAATGAGTTTAGGATGAAGATGATTACAGTGTATGACTTTCAAAATGTTACAAAGCTTAAAAGCTATTTTCAAACCAAGTGACTCTTACATTAATCCAGATAAATGTTTTTTTCACTGAATAACAGTAAGCCAACAATAAATCTGTCTAGCCTTCACCTGGAGACATTAAAAGACGTGTGTTGCCTCTTCTTGGTGATCGATTATCTATTAAATAATAACTGTTTTACTACAGTTTTACCTGAAGGTAGAGTTTCATCTGCAAAACACAGTATGTTCTTTTTAAGGTGGTATTTGATGGCTTAGAATCACTGATCTTTCAATAAACAAATCAGACTGTTAATAGTAATTAAAAAAAAAATACCGTACAACTACAGAAAATAAAGGTATCCCAGTAGTTTATAAAAAATACACAAAGATGCAGTTCATGTCCATATCCACCTAGCAGCTGACCAAAAAACTTCTTTTTAAATAAGAGAGAATCCCCTAAAATTCCAGCCTTCATGTTACTACATGGAAAAAACAAAAAATACTGTTTTCTGCCAAAGACATTGATACTATGGTTCTACATTCTTGCAAAGAGATTATCATGAACAATTCAGTAAAAACACACGTTTTTATTCGGAACACAGTAGGCTTAATTCAGTTGCCAAAAGTTTTGTTGGTACCTTTTTAGATGCACTGGGTTCCTACTTGGCCTCCAGTTGCCATTCCAGAAGACCTCTCTTAAGTTGTTTGTCACATCTGATAGCCTCCTGTATCAACACCATAACAGATCTTGTAAGAATTCACATAGAACAGTATTTAATAATTATAACTTGTGATCTGAGACATCCAGCGTGGCTTCACCAGAGGTGAATAATGCCTGACTAATCTGGTGACCCTCTACAATGGAGTGATGTCATCAGTGGGCAACTGATGTCACCCACCTGAACTTATACAAGACCTTTGGCATGGTCCCACACCACAACCTCGTCACTACATCGGAGATGTACGGATTTGGAGGCTGAACTACTCAGTAGATTAGGAGTTGATTGGATAATCATAGTCAGAGGTTGTGATCAACAGCTCTACACCCAGGTGGAAGCTGAGTGGTGTCCCCTGGAGCCTCGATCTTGAGACCAGTGCTCTCCAACATCTTCATCAATGAGCCTTTATCAGAGTCAAGGGTACTGAGTGCACCCTCAGAAGTTTGTTGATGACACCAAGCTGAATGGTGTAGTTGATACAGCAGAAGAAAGGGATACCACACTGAGGAACCTGAACCAACTCAGAAACTGGGCCCATGAAAACCTCATGAAGTTCAACGATGTCTAATGATAGGACAAGAAGGAAATGGTACTAAACAAAAAAAAAAAAAGGAAGACTTAGGTTAGATGTTAGAAAGAAACTATTTACTGACACAGCTGCCCAGCAAGCTGTGGGTGTCCCATCCCTGGAGGTGCCCAAGGCTGGGCTGCACAGGGCCCTAGGCAGCCTGAGCTGGTGGGGACAGTCAGCCCATAGCAGGGGGTTGGAACTGAGTAGACTTTAATGCCCCTTCCAATTTAAGCCATTCCATGATTCTATTACATTTGTTATCCACTTGTTTTGCAAGCAAAACTAGATTTCATGAATTAGTAGCTTAGCTAAAAAATTCCACCAAGAATCCTTATAGTTTGCAATGAAAACAAGTATTAAATAATCATACAGGAATAGCAAGACAGACTTTACACATCTAAATGCAATTTTTAGTAATATGGGTTTTTTCTCATGCTAATAATACAATTGCTTAGATTTAGCAGCAGAAGACAATTGCGTGTCATCAAGCAGTATAATACAGAATGAGAAACTTTTAATATCTGAGAAAAATGACATTATTAGCATTCATAGCATAGCCTATAATGTACCGTGTTTCCATTACTTAAGAGTAGCATTTGTTTGATCTATTCAGAGCAATTCTGGATAGGGGGAAGTAATTCATGGACTCAATAGTATTACAGCATCTGAGACCAAGAATATCGCTCTCTTTGCTGCTCACCACAGAACGTCTGGGTACAGACTGCAAGGACATATTCATGTTTAATTATTATGAAAATGTCACGTAAAAATGAGAAAGGAGTTAAATCACTGTACAAAGATTTAAACTGGAAGCCACTGAGGTTTTAATAACGCTCTACATGTGAATTATGTTTCCAATAACACATAAATGTATTATGAAACTTCAGCCAATAAAAAGCAGTTTCCTACAGCTTAATGTATTTGAGAAGAGAATGACTGTACTCGTGGTAACAGAAATACCAATTATGAATCAAACACATAGTTTAATTCACTTTATTATAGCTGCAGTTATTAAGTTAAGGCAAAAGCCACGCTTAAATACTTTCCCATCAGTTTGTGAAAGTGGAGAGGCAATATTCATTTCCTCAAATTTATGGGAGCATAATAATTAAACCCCAGCTCTTCTTTGTAGGGCCATGAACCCTCTTGACTTGCCTCTCATTTCACTGTTCCAGCCATGCTGCAGGCATATACCTACCTCTCTCCTGCCACAGAAACAGCTGTTTCATCACAGACCGTTTCCCTTATGACACACCATAGCACCTGCAGCCACACTTCTGCACCCCAGCATACTCAATGGTGCAGATGGTACAAAAAGTTAAAGGAGAGGACAGAGATGAAATTTCAAACAAAACTGATACACTTGTGTGGTGAATGGCATGTCTGCGCCCAGACATCTCCACCATGCTCCCATCACAGAGCATCAGCTGTGCCGTTGTGATCGTTTATTAGGGGGAAAAAAAAAAAAAACCCGCGGGGGGGGGGGCAAAATGTTACTGAAGAAAGGGCAAAATATAACATGGCAGTGAGAAGTGGGGAAAGTAAGTGCAGTAAGCAGCCCTGTGAACACCAAGATCTCACATCTTTATGTCCAAACCCCTCATAACGCAACATCTTGTCTCCAGAACTCACAAGACAGCAAAAAAAGCCCAATCCCACAGGCCTTTAGATACTCATCCAACTTCCCTGTCCCAGATGACTGGGGTTTCCACAGCCTCTGACACGTCTGCAAAGGACATGAAGGGAAGATGGACGTAAAGTCAGCTGGTTATCCACGCAACAAGAGGAATGAAAGCAAGAACTCAGCCCACAAAGATGGAGGATGGAGACTGAGACCTGGCTAAAATAACACACAAAGTGCAAGTGGGCAGCACAGACGCTTGTGGCCAGGGTATGCAGCACAAAACAGCAGCAGAAAGAATGGACCAAAAGGGCTGTAAGAGGAAGACATGCAGCAAAGGAGGGCAGGTGTGCTGCCAAGGGAGTAAGAGGTGGCCAGGAAAGGCTGAGGCCAGCATGCCATGCCTGTGCTCCACATGTGCCACTAGAGATGGAAAGGACTGAACCTGAGAACCCCCCCATATCCACTCATCCCAACTGGACATCACTGCCAAGCCAGCTGAAGGGCACAATCTTCAGGCCAGGAGAGATCATCCATCCCAGTTGCCCTGTGGTACAGAGCCATAGGAGAATTCAGGCTCCTGCCCCAAACCTGAAGGAGGCTCTGGGAGTCCCATGCCCCTGCAGCAATGCTTCAGCATGCTGGCACCCTACTGTCCAGGGCTGGGGGCACATGAAGGTCATGTTTCAGTTCCTCCCCAGATGTGAGCAAACTGCTGAAGTCAGGCTCAAACAACAGTCTCTAATTCTTTAAAAAGTGTATTTGTATGTATTCACAGTATTTACAGATATACACACAGTAATGGAAAGAGTTTGAAAGACCAGGACAGTAGCAGAAACAGCTTAAGGCTGAGGAGAAGTCTCACTTTCCAGGCTCCAGTCTCCATTGAGATAATTCCATCTAACCCCAACCAAGACTTCTTTGAAGAAGCAAAATGCCTGTACATCAAGAAGGGGAGAGTAAGCATGTCTGAATAACTCATATTCTGCTATTCCTTCCTACAGTGCCAGCATCCAGGCCCAGAAAAAAATAAACCACACTTGAAAAAAAGAAAAAAACACATTTCGAAGCCTTACCACAGACCTGTTTGTTCTTAGGTTAACCAACAACTATCCAGTCTCCTTGCCTGGCTTTAAAGACAGCAACTGCTAAGACTTGTTCTCCAGCCTGCTCAAGCTGCAGAATTTTTGTTAAGGAGACTCCTCTGAAAGATGCAAGTTTCAGTTGGAAGTTACTTCACTTTAATCCTGCATATTAACCATTAAAAAAATACACCTATTACTTAACCTTTAAACAATGTATCAAAACAAAAAAGCCAAAGTTTATGTTTTATTAAGGCTTTTAGAAAAGGACAGTATACTTGTTCTGTTCATCCCTGCATTTGCTGAAATAGGCAGTTACAGATCACTTCTCAAGTCCTTGGCCATTTCTCTATTGCATGTTCAGATTCCACCTCGCTACTTGGATGCGTTTCTAGCAGAAAATCCTTCCTATTTGAAAGCCTCACATGTTCAAAGGAGTGAGGGTCCCATCAGCACTCATTTCTGCTCACTCCCTTCTTGCTGTAAGGGTAACAGATCTTTCCAGTTCTTGTAGTTCCATAATTATGAATATAAAAAGTACAATTTGCTCATATCTGCTCACATCATCTCATCTTGGAAGGTTAAAAAAATTCATGCTATTGCATGCAGCAGACTAACAAAAAGTACATGCATCAGCACAGTAGGCAATGTGCAACTCTGTACATTTTCGTTTGTGGAAGAAGTTGCACAAAGCCTGCTGGTGTTAAACATCCAAAAGGTAAGAACATCCAGGTGTGCAATATACAGTGAAAGCCTGGCTCCTGGCAGATCCTCACTTGCAGGAAAATCACATGCATAGTTTAGATACTTAGTACTGCTTTCCCTCATGTCAGCAGCTCTAGAGAATAGGTCCAGTCCAGCCAGGTAAAGGACACACACCTTCCCTCTCTCAACTGCAGTATCCTTGAAGAAAAATACCCAAGTTTCACAGTCAAATTGAAGGATGAAATGTAGCCAGGCAGAGAGGATAAAAATCAAAAGAAGGTCTCCCTGACACATCCTTGTTCAGTATTTCGTTTGTTAGTCACATCTGTGGCACAAAAGTACTCAAGATTGTGGGCACAGGAAGAGACTACAGAATACTTCTCAAGTTCAGAGGGGTGGGACTGGGAGATTTCTACATATCCAGAGTCAGTTGAATTAAGGAAAAAAAAAACCTTCAACTTCATTTATGATATCAAATATACTTCACAGCAAGGTTGCTGCAACTCAGCAGTCTGTGCTGGTGCCTCACGGAGGCCAGAAGAACACTCTCAGCTGCATTTCCAGTTCTCTTTCTCATCAGCATCTGGGTGGGTGCGCAGTGAATCCTAATGCAGGGAAAACAAAATACAGGAGATTTCTGATTTGCAGCTTCTCTTTCTTCCACTTTAGTCCTTACTGTGAGAGGAGGATCAAAGAATGCCAGCTGTCCCTTTCACCCACATGGCCAGGAGTGCTATACGATCCCAAAACCAGAGAAGGTATTTCGTCACTGAGAGATGCCCCAACGTATTCCTGCCCCATAGTTCCATCTCTCTTGCCCCTACAAGATTTAACTTCAATGACCTTACTTAGGAATAAAAAGGAGCACCTCAGCCCAGGCATCTATCATCCTGGTTGCACAAGGCATTCTACTGGTACAGGAATTTTCTTTACCTGGGTTTGAAGTTGGTGACGTTTCAGCTGTCTATAGAACTGCAGCACTGTGGGATCAGCTCTCACTACTTTTGGGTCAAAATCCAGAACACGGAGACCTGCAAGGCTGCGGGCTCGGGAAAGGGCTACATAGGCCTGCCCACTTTCAAAGACACGAGACAGGGAAATTTCCACAGAATCTAAAGACATGCCCTATCAAAGAGAGGGAGAAATCAGTTGCACAGAAAAAGAAAAACACACACACAAAAAAACCCAAAGCACAGAACACCATGTCATAGCAATACTAATATACCCTATGAATTTGTCAGAAGTTACCATCCACAGTGTACAAGCTTGATAAGAAAGGTGGCCTCTTGTTTATTTAAGTAAAAGATGGGAACCAGTAAAACAAAAAAAGAACAGTTTCCTGATGATTAAGTTGCTATCAGACAAGGGAGATACTTTCAGTATCTAAAAAGAGACTGTAAGAAAGATGGGGACAGATTCTTAGCAGGGTCTGTTTTAATAGGACAAGGGGAAACTATTTCAAAACTTATAGAAGAGAAACATAAATCAGATAAGAAAAAAAAGTTGTGCATTTCTCATTTTTGGAACACAGGTGATGAGGGTGTCCACAAAAAGGGTGATGAGGCAGTGGAACACGTTGCCCAGAGAGATGGTGAACACCTCGTCCCTGGAAACATTCATGAGCAGGCTGGACGGGGCTCTGAGCACCTGATGAAGCTGCAGCTATCCCTGCCCATTACAGAGGATTTGGACTAGATGGCCTTTAAGAGTCCCTTCCAACTCAAATGATATGATGATTTTAAGAGCCTGCTATTGTGTGAAACTGCACAAACTCCATCCACTCAACACAGCAGAGAAAGAAATCCCACTGTTTCCATGCATAGTAATTAAGTGGAGGAGAAGTCGGTTTCAAGGAGTCCTCAGACAGACCACCTGAGAGAGACTTTGGGTTAGAAACAGCAAACTATCCCAAGAGGCAGCAGAATTTACAACACAGCTTGGGAACAAGCTTATAGGTCTTCTATAGAGGAGTGTTTATCCAAGTGTATGAATTATTCTGGAAAAATGAGAAATGTGCTATGTACATCGGGGAAAAAAAGCCAGCACACCTTTGAGTGAAGTCCAGCTCAAACAGAACAGCTGTAAATCCAGCTTCCTCAGGTACACAAAGCAAGCTGCAGGATCATCAGTGCTGATGACTAATAGGGAAACAGTCCTGACCAGCCCACAGCAGAAACTACTGCTGCTTTCCAGTCCAACACCAGCTGTGTAGATGGCAGCACCATCATGGAAACTCCACAAAGTGATAGCAACACTACTGTCTTCCAGACTACAGTTACAGACAGTTATCATGAACAGAAGAGATGCAGTCTTCCTTTCAACAACAGATATACAACCTAGAGCTTTTCTGCGACAAGTTTTTCCTCCAGTTTTACCAGCAATCTAAGCATCCCCAGAAGATAAGGCTTATGATACTATAAAAGTCTATAGACAGTTGTGGAAATGCACTCACCTGGCTCTTGTGAATGGAAATGGCCCATGCCAATTTTAGGGGCAACTGCTGGCGACTCAGATGAATTCCTGATGGCCCTTTGAAGAGCCACCTTGCCAATTTGATAACTCGAGTGACTCCACAGAGAAACCTCACCTTGGGCAGCCCTGTGAAAATGAGAATAGAAGGGCAATAAGAGCATGTTCCTGGCATTCATCAGCAGGAAGCCAGAAGATTTAAGAACAGGTTTTCCTCTTCCTCACACTAGTATTTCATGAATTTTAGGGCTGTGTTTAAAAAAAAAAATCCCATATCAAAACAGAACAACCCACCCCACTCACTAAGTAGGATGTTCTGAAATGACATTTGGGACACAAAGGAGAATTACATTCAGCTAATTTATCAGTTGAGATACCTTCTCTGTAACAGAACAGTGTTCTCTGAGGAAAATAAAACAACACACCACAACTTGATTCAGCAACACAGAAATAAATGCAGATGAGTATACATATCTGATCAACAAAGAAAACAAACACAGGATGCCTTACATGCACCACATCACATGACAGCCCAGGAGAACCACTAACATTTTGTTACAGAGAAGATCTGTTCTCCGCTTTCCTTTAGTAAAGAAAATTAACAAGTCATCAGCACAGCAGTAATATTTTTAAAATAAAGTTTACTTTACCCTTCTGTTCAGTTTCAAATCCTACAACAATTCCTCGTGCTCCATTCACCAGCCCTTGAGACACATCCAGATTCTTAGCTAGCATCACCTACAGAGTAAAAGGAGAGGGGAAGGCAAATCTCTCAGTGTGCTGGCTTTTGAGTATGTTCAGCCTCTTTCAGCTAAGCGTCTAGCCAGAATGCATAAGCATAGACATATCATTCTATTGCAGATTGAAGCACAATCTCTAATTTAACTGAAGCTCCTTCACAGCCTTCCCTTCCTAGGATTCCCAACTACAAAATTCTCAGTAGTGAATGCTTTTCACCTGATTTTCTGTCCACAGCTACAACCTCAGATCCAGGAAGTGATTTTGCCCTCCCAAATGCCAGCAAGCCCAGATGATTGTGGAAGAAGCAGAGGAAAACCTTCCCAAGGCAAAGCATCACCCAGTGGCGCTTCTTTGACACAATCCTGCATCCTTTCCACGCTGACAGCCTCAGATCACAACAAGATAACCAGTAGAGCACATTTGGCAATCTTATGCCTTACTCTTACAGGTCAGGAAGACTGCTGTACTCAAGGCTGAGACAAGCAAGAAGTCTATGTTCTGCTTCTGGGCCTGGTAAGAAATATATGTCTAAGTCACTGTGGTCACTGTGGTCCACAGGACACACACTTGTGCTCAAACCAAGTCGATCCTCTGCCTGGGTTGCGAGCAAGAAGGATACTGAGATCAGACTGATCTGGCCAGTCTCATGTTGGCTTGGCGTGGTTGCTCCATGCAGAATCTGTATTTTACAAATTGATCTATTATATATATAGCTATTATACCTTCATTTTTCTTCATTCTTCATTTGATCTGCTGTTCTTTCCCAAACAAACTTGTACATACACTCACCTGAGCTCCAACCTTTAGCTCAACTCTACCACCCACAGGACACTGAGTATCAATTAACTTCACTAGCATCGGGTCACTGTCCAAAGCCTCAAAAGCGTGCAAATCTCCTACGAAGGAAAAAAAAAAAAAAAAGCAGTGACCAACTACAACTACAAGACATAAGCTACACGATATTTGCAGGAGACTCAGCATTTATTTTTTGCAGCAATTTCTCTTATAGTGACCGAGGAGAATGGATATTAGGAGTTGTAGGTGCAAACTTGGCACACCTAGCAGCAGAAAGCTCACTGCTACCTCCTTTCCCAGCATAACTGCCAGAGCATTAGAAGGCTTGGAAATTAAGGACCAGCAGTAAGCAGCATCTGACCAGCTACCATTTCAAGCATATGACCAGTTTTACACCAGATCTCCAAAGAGGACTAAGGAGGAATCTTTGGGCCAAACGGGCCAGGAATGAAATAACCCTTAACTCAAACAGTGTCTGGTTTAGTGCATGGACTTTCTGAGATTCTATAGAAGGAAGAAGCAGGGGTATGGATGCAGTATCCACCACACCTCACAGAAAGCAATCAGCTCACCGACAAACAGTAAGGTATATTTAAAAGGGGAAAAAATTTCCCCGAGCAGCTCAAGTCCAACACGTACAGCTCATGCTGTGACAAAACATCACCTCCTCCTGTCACCACGGTGCTCCCACTCCCAGCTCAGCCCTGAAGCCAGCAGCTTTCTGCACAGAATTCACCTGAAAGCTGTCGCAAGCGTCTTTCATTAGTCAGTTCTACATCATCGTTGTGGGTGCAGAGCCGTGTAGCCAGTATCCCATCGCGCTCAGATCTGTTAGTAGCTGTCTGTGTCAGCAGACTGATAACCTCCTCTGTGCACCTGGTGACCAGGAAGAAGGCATTGTTATTTGAAGTGATCAGGGCTGGGTCTTGAGCAGCAGTGACTTCCACAGAGCCACATCAGGTTTTCAAGCTCTGGTCTCTAGAGAGAACAGTGGACAAAAGTAACTACAGAAAGTGCAAGAGTGTGTGCCAGCCCATCCCCGGCCCAACAACTCTTGCATTCTCTATCAGAAGTTCCAAAGGGATATTCTAGAAAGGGTTTCTTCCTTTACTAGCACCACATCAGACCTCCTTACACTGCCTAAGGCATTCATAGCTACTCCCCCCAGCCACAAATCCCTCACAGAACATGAGGGAGAGGTGAGCAATGGCTCCATCAGCAGGGAGCAGGGCTTCGAAGCAGAGCTGAGTTCCTGCTCACCTGCCTAAACGGACTGCACTCAGCAGCGAAATGAAGGTCTGATCGGTCTGTCTTCGCACTTCCGTCAGCTCCATGTTTATGTGGATGCATTTCCTCCAGCTTTTTGCCTGGTAAATCATTCTCTTGTTAAGTAAGAAAATGCAAATTTTGAGGGTAAGCTTAGGGACAGCTTTGTACCTGGAAGCAGAATGTGGTTTCTTCATTAGCCTTGCAAACTGGGGGCAGCTGCAAGAAGTCCCCACAGATGATGAGCTGAATTCCTCCAAAAGGCTCATCTCGTTTTCTTACTGCTCTGAAAGGAAAGGAAGAGACCTTCTGAATGTCCTCTAGGGCCTGAACAAATTCAAGTCTCAGAAGTTATTTCTCAGTCTGCCAGCAGGTTCTATCACCCTCATTAAAAGACTGTTATTCTTAGCTGTGTCAGAAGAGTTAAAATAATTAATCAATATTATTACAAGACATTCATTTGTCTTTGTCTATCCAATCAAAGCACCACTGCCAGTCTTTGTGATTCAGTGGCTGTTATAATACAGCTGCCTCTTGCTCCTTGCTGTTCAGACAGTGTTCACATGGAGTCAGAAAGCACAGGGATTTGAAATGCATCTTGGAGTTACAGTAAACACAGCAAGCTTAATTGAGGTAGCAACAGAGAACTGATAAGAACAGCATAAATAGACAACTGTGTCCTGGACTCAGCTCTATGGATGGAAACTACAACCAGAACAGACACAGCTGGGAGGATGGAAACACAATCAAAACCTATCTCATAAGAAAAGCTCTGTCCTAATCTGGCTGTGATTTCAGACTTCTCTCCAGACTTATGCCAATGGCTGCCTTGTATCCAGCAACAAAACCATAGGAAGGAAGCAACCTGAAAGCGCAGGGAAATTCATTTCTGTTGTTTGAACTGACAACCACTCACCTTGCCACTGCCTCCAGCTTGTCAAAGAACTTGCCATCCACCATGGAGATCTCATCGATGATTAAGCGCTGGCAGGCCAGCCAGTGCTGCCGCACCCCAGGTCTCTCTGCCAGCTGGATGCACTGTTCCAGCGGAGCCTTCCCAGAGCCTATACCTGCCAAGGGAGAAGCAAACTCTGAGAAGTTCCAAACTGTTTGTGATGAGAGCAGAAGCCCCCAGCTCCTTGCTGCCTGGCCAAACATTACCTGCGAAGGCATGGAGTGTGGTGCCACCGATGTGGCAAGCTGCCACTCCAGTGCTGGCTGTAGCATAAGTGCTGTTTGGAGGGAGGGAGCCCACGATCTTCTTCAGCAGGAATGACTTCCCAGTCCCTGGGAGAGATAGAGAGCACTGCTTTTAGCAAGGTGTCGCAGGGCTACAGGGGACCATCACCGCAGGGATGCAGAGAGTAGCAGCTTGGCACTGAGGTCTTGAACCAAACCCACCTGCACAGCCAGTGAAGAAGACACTCTTCCCACTGCGCACAGCACCCAGCACCGCCTCCTGCTCCACTGACAGCCGGGCAGGAGGCCGCCTCTCTGCACGAAGCACCTGTGGGATAGAAGCATGACAGGCCCTTTGGGAAGAACTGAATCATGGAATCACACAGGTGGGAAAAGACTTCTGATAGCACCCAGTCCAACCCCACCCACTATGCCAACTGACCACAGCCCTCAGTGCCACATCTCCACAGTTTTCCTAATATCGAACCTGAGCCTCCTCTGGCACAACTTAAGGACATCACCTCCCATCCTATCACTGTTACTCGAGAGAAGAAGCTGACTCCCACCTCATCACAAGCTCCTCTCAGGGCATTGTAGAGTAATGAGGAGGCTCAGAGGAGACCTTAACTCCAGTTCCCTCAGCCGCTCGCAGTAACACTTGTGCTCCAATCCCTTCACAGCTCCTTTGCCCTTCCCTGGGCACACTCTAGGGCCTCGAGGCGTTTCTCGTATCGAGGGGCCCAGAACTGAACACAGCACTCGAGGTGCAGCCGAGCACAGGATGCCGACCGCCTCCCGTCCCTTCTGGCTGCACAATCGCCGACACAAGCCGGGATGCCGTTGCCCTGGGCACGGTACTGATTCGTGTTCAGCCGCCGTCAGCTCACACCCATGGGTCCTTTCCCCGCCGCCCTCCCCTCCCGGAGCTTCACCTCCGCCGGCCGCTCCCCGGCGCTCCGGTCCCGCTCAGAGTCACGCCGCAGGTCGCGCTCCTGGAGCGGGCTGATAACGGAGAAGGCGGGCGGCGGGCGGCCCAGCAACCGGGGCTGGCGCGGCGCACCCCGCGGCCCGGCGGCCAACTTGAGCTTCAGGAGGCGGAAGAAGCGGCGCAGGGCGTCGGGTGGGCAGTCGGAGAGCAGCACCTGGGCGCCGCCCGGGCCCACCCGCACTGCCGCGCGGCCCTCCCCCACGAAACGCGTGAAAAGCCGCACGGCGTCGCCTCCCAGAGCGAAGCTGAAAGCCGCCGCCTCTCCCCCGCCGCCGGCCACGCGCAGCACCGGCTGCCGCAGCTCGTTGCGGCCCAGCAGCACCAGCGCGCCCCGCAGCACGCGGCGCAAAGGGCCCGCGCCCCCCGGCAGCGGCCGCTCCACGACGGCGGTGCAGCGCAGCTCCGCGTCCCCCATCGCGGCTCTGCCGGGTCGCTCCGCCGCCCGTTCAAACTCGCCGCGTGGAGCCGCCGTCCAATCAGCGCCGGGAGCTTTAATTCGACAGCCAATAGGAGACGAGAGAGGAAACCGGCGAAGGAAGCGGGCATGCGGCTAGCCCGCTCAATCAGGAGCGCCACGCGGCGCCACGTGACGCGTTGCCGGGCAGCGGGACGCGGCGCGGCGCCATGGCCGCTCGCGGCGGGGAAAAGGAGCCGCCGGACGCCGTGCACCTGAACCGGCTGCTGTGCGAGCGCGTGCGCAAGGAGCTGCGCTGCCAGCGGCTGCACACCGAGCACAGCATCAACCCGTTGAGGCACGGTAAGCGGCCGCCTCCTGGGGAAGGGGGAAGAACGAGGCTGGGGCGGGCACTAATCAAGAACCGGTAGCCGGGTTGATGTAAACGCACGCTGAAGCCCTTCGCCCGCATCGCTTCTCTTCCAGTTCACACGGTCACTCAGAAGCCCATGTCTTGGCACGACAACATCGAGGAGCCTGCGGATGGTGAGTGGTGATAAGCACGAGAAAATGACCCTCGCCCTCCGACTGCCGTCGTTGGGGATGGATGGTGTTGTCCCATCCTGACACGTGGCCCCAGGTCCGTCGAGCTTTGTCATGCTTCATTTATATTCGTGTCTCTTAACCCACAGCCAAGTTTCTGAATATTATTCATCAAGCAGCGCTGGAGCCAACGAAGAAATATTCAGAGCCACAAACAGAGAGCCAGGAAATAGGCTGGAACACAACGCCTCTGGTGAGTAGGGTGTGTGAGTCAGGCTGAGCCCAGCACCCAGAAAGGTATTGGTACAGTAAAATAATCTGTGGCAAATACAAAAAACAGGAATGGCGCCAATGTTCACAGGCAGCAAGCTTATCAAGTTAAGATCTAAGAGGACTCTTCCACCTGGTGAAGCCTTGTCCACATAGAAGCAATAGTCTTGCTCTGCAGAACCTGCATACAAAATATCTGCAAGGACGGCAACAAGGACAGTTTGATCAGCTAAATGCCAAGCTGGGGGTCAGGGCTGCTCATTAAGCATTCAGCATTGAGCTACAGTGAACAATGCCAAGTGACACAGACAAGCACTGCAAAAAAAGTCTGCTACATCTTTCAAACAAATTGAAAGCAGAACTAACAAAGTTGATAATCAGTTCAGCATATCTGAGACAGAATATACCAACTGAAGGTTCATTTGGAGAAATGTGAATAAGCAGGATGGATAATCTTACTAACAAGGTGACATCATTCATATCTGTGACACAAAGAGCTGTGACAGTAACTGAGTTTGTAGATTAGCATTTCCAGAAAGGCAAATGAGGGGTTCATTAATTTTGGCCAGTTACAAAGAATTAAAATAAGTAAGAATCTTCTGCAGATTTTCATATTACTCCAAGTAAAGTAGTTACTCATGACAGATAGCCCAGGAGGGCTTAGATAATGTCAGTAGGATAAGCCTGGCAGGAAAGATACAATACAAGTGAAGGCAAGTGAGTTTACAGTCAAGACTCCTAAAGCTGCCTCCAAAATTGAGTTCTCCCTTTTCACCAGGTTCTCGTGCAATGTAACTGTGAACAGTATAGCACATCCCTCTTTTCAAAAGGGACTGCAACCAATTCTAGGAAAAGCACGTGCTTCTCCAATTTATGGTAATTGCTTTCCAGATTGACACAGACCGCACTGATCGCAGACTCTTCTTCCCACGCCGGAGAACTGAGATCACTGCACATATGGCTGCCACGGGGCACCTGAAGAAGTAGTAGAAGCTGCAGCAGCAGAGCCACACAACATAGAATGAAGTAGCTAGTGCCATCTAATACGTTAGACCAGGGTTGTTAGTAGGTGAGTATGGATTTTTGGCAAGAGAAGATTGGAGAAAAAAAAAAAAAAAAAGTGAGGATAGAATCCTTGTCTGTCCCAATTTGCAGCCTTACAGAAATAAAACTGTTTGTAAGACTGCTGCATTTGTCTTCTTATTGTGATACCAGCAACATGACTCAGAATTCTGTGTCCTCAAATACGTATCAACAGCAGCTGTGGAAAAAGCTGTCACAGCAAAGGGAAACGGGGCAGATCTCAGCCACTGTTCATAACACAACTAAATTCAAAACAGACACAGGAGCTCTATGTAAATTATTTAGTAAGTTCACACACCGAACATTTAAGTAGCAAACAACTCTTCAACAAAACGGACAACAGGAACAAATTAGTGATAAGGCACTAATTTCCACTGATTTGCTTCTTGCCACGTGGAAGCATTCAGGCTGCTCCACAGTCAGCTGCTTGAAGACAGCAGAAACACCTTCCAACGTGCAAAGACACAGGAGCCCCCCTGCGGAGCACAGTTCTCTAGCCTGCTCGGCTCTTCATTTTCTGCCGTGCTCTCTTCCCAGGTCTCTTCTGCAAAGAGAGAGTATAGCTCTATAGCATCAGTACCTCTGGAGAAGGAGTTTTTGGGAAATGTGGCAACATACAGTACTTGCTAAGTCCCCCACTTATTTCCCTTTTCAAACCCCAAACCAGTGCCCCCAGCCCTATCCATGACAAAATTACTTCCAATGCTGGAGGCACTCATCACATACTCAGGTGTCCCTCGCAGACCAGGGAGGGCTTTCCAACCAACGGCAATCACTCGCACTCAACATTTTACTTACATTGAGAGCTTTCTTTCCTCCTTTTCCTGGGCCTTTGTTGTGAGCCACTTTTGTCCTGAAGCTGGATACATCATTAAAACTGTCCTTTGTGTTCCACTTCGAACCCTTTTTCTTTCCGCCAAAACCAAACTTCTGATTCTTGTATCGTCTTTTGGCATTTGGTCTGAAAAACAACGCTGCTGCATCAGCACTTATGCACCTTTCCTCAGGAAGCCCTCAAGAAGGAAACAAATATCAGCAGACAGACTCCCATCAATTCTCATAAAAGTTTCCCCTGTGATCAAAGAAGAAATCAGCACATTCCAGGCTGTACTCCAATAGGCCACAGTTCTCCTCTCTAGAGATACAAAGTCGCTCAGGACTTATTTTTCACAAATAGTAATTTACACAGCTTCCTTGTCACACAAAACTCCTACAAAACTTGAAGAAAGAAAAAAAAAAAAAAAAAAAAAAATCAGAGATTCTGCCTTTAAATATCTTTCTTTTCTAATCTCACCCTTTCTTCATTTGTTGATTTGCACCGCCTTTTTTATTCCCCTGAGACGAAGTCTGTTCTTCATCCAGAAAATCCAGCTTGTCAGAGAGACCTGCAAGAGCAAGGACAAAACTGTTGCTCAGTTACCACCACAGAAACCAAGTATTCAGCCCAAATAACAGCAACAAATCACCCTCACTGAAGACCAAGGATTTTCTCTGCCACAAGTGTATGGTTCTGTGTAGCAGCAGCGTTTCAAGCTTTAGTGCTCAGCAGTAGAGATGACATCACATATCACAGTGCCTCACACTCCTGACACATCACTATTCCCATTGTACATTTGGTCTCTTAGACAAGTTAACTTTACCTTTCTGATACTTCTTGACTGCATTTAACATCTTTTTTTTCTCCTTTTGCCTTCTCTGTAGAATCTCTGTTTGTACCTGAGAAGAAAGGCAAAATGTTAGCATTGTTTTTTTTCTGGTGCTCCATACCTTCTTTAGGCCCTGGTATCCCACCGCTGTCTCTTTAAGGCAGCTAGACAAAAGACCAGAGAGAGTGCACTTTATCCTGCCTCCAGCAATCCCATTTTCTAAGCTTAGTTAGGCTCTAGATTCTTGTCACAGACAGGTCCCTTTTTGTAGCTCCTCCTCACCTTCTTGCCATATTTTCTCATGGCACGGAGCTGTTTCGCTTTCTCAGACTTCTCCATTGCTTCCTGCTTGCTCTTAAGCTTCTGCCGAATCTTTTTAGGGGAAAAGAAAAAAAATTAATGAGTAATGCAAAGGAAAGTGTGAGAACTTTAAGACGTCTGAAATCAGTAATTATGTAAACAATATCACCAAATGCAAAAAGAATATCTGTCTCAATCAGATCATTTCTCTATCATCATTGCTACAGTTTAACTCAACACCCACAACTGAAAACCACTGAGAGCTAGAATACACCAAATATAAATTAAGGAAAAAAAAAAAAGATCACATAAATGCCTCCATTCACTGCAAGTTTTATGGCAAATAATAAACACCACCAACTTCCCAACCACTGTTACATATATGAAGAAATCTCAATTTTCAATATTAATTATACGTGGGATGCAATGTAAACCACTCTTCTACTTTACACTTCCAGCCTGTTGTAGAAGTCTCCACACTGCACAGAAATACCTGTACAGGAACAAATTCCCAGCTGCAAAGGATTCAAACACAAATGTTGTCGCAGGCCTTTGTCAAAGAGATGATGGCAACTATTAAGGACCACACAGTTCATAGCTAACACAGGCTAAAACCAACACACAGCACAGGAATGAAAGCTACTGCTCACGGCACATACCTTCTGCATCTGCTGGTCTGACTTGGCCATCTCTGCAAAGTAATCATCTGGCCTTCTAGTAGGAACACGGAGCTTACGCAGCCTCGGTAGGGCCTCCAGCACCGCTGCCTGCGCCTGCCGGTAGCTGGGGAGACAGCACAAGAGCAGCTCTGTGACAGGGCACCAGGCAGCTCACAGCACTGACACAGGCTCTTCACGTAAGGCAGAAGATACCAGGATCTAACAAAATGCAATCTAGTATTCTATCATCACTCATACTCTAGAACATTCCTAAAGCAATTTGTGCCAGCACGGTATTAATGCTGGTATCCTTCTGCTAAGGTTTTATACATCATGCAAAACACACAGCAACAAGAACTACGCATCCACACACATAAAGGCATCTGCTGTCAGAGCCATAAGGTTGCAATTCAGAGACTTCCTAAAGACACCTCCCAGCAATGGATGGAAGTTTGCTGCAAGGGGAGAAATTACTTCCTGTCACAAAACAGCTTAAATATATTAGCACTTATCTGTAGCT